AATTGGAGAAATATCTCAGTCTCAGTTTAAATCAATAATTTGAATTTGAATCGTCCCCTCGACGACGATCGTTCACATCAAATCTCTTCCCTCTAAAATCTCTAAAATAAAATGAAAAAAAATAAAAACACCACGTTAATCTGTCTCCCTTAATCTGTTTCCACAGCGTTTCCCTTCCCCCGTCCAAGTTTCGAAGCGATTCGAAGGATTAGCACCGAGGAGGAAGCAAAGGGGTTCGATTGGACGGGTCAACCGAGGAAAATGCACGACACGGCGGGACTTAACCGGAGGGGATAAGTAGCTGTCACTTCCGTTGCGTCAGTGTCTTCCGTTTGCCAGATCCGTCCGAGGTGGAGGGTGGACGTATCCCGGGGACAATCTGCCGGGCAAACCCGCAGCTTTCACGGCTTTCCGACAAATTGTGAAAAGAATGATGTATTGAGCCTGTAAACGGCGCGACGTCGAACCGAGGACCTCCCACACAGCAACGTCCACACCCCGGAAACCTTGGTCTTCTTACGTCTGCCGAGGCCCAGAACGTCTGCCCGCAGCAACCGCCCATTACGCCCATTGTACTCACCGAGGAGACAGTCGTTCGGGACACGTAGTTACCCCCTTACTTCCACTTCCCTCCTTCCTCATCGGGGAGGGGGAGAGTCACAATTACATTTTCACGTTTCCAGGCATTGGACAGGCTTTGGGAGGAGTGGCCGCCTCTGGTAAGAAGATGAGCGAAAGAGAGATGGAGATGGGGGGACGGATAGATAGATAGATAGATAGACAGATAGAGAGTTTTGGAGAGATTTCTTCGGTGATTGGAAACACCCTGCGGTTTATCTCTTTAACGATCTTTTGTAGTTGGGGAGACGGTGGAGGGGTGGCGTCGAGTTGGAAATTTGCCGCGTATCGGGCCAGATTGTATCGATCTTGAATGCTAATAAGGAAATAATTCGAGCCTTGGAAATGGGTGGGTGCAATCGGTGCGAGGCAATTTGCGCTCGGATTCGGCTAACGCCTACCTTCCACGAATTATCTTACCTAGCTTTTTCCTTTCTCTCTTCTCTTTGTCTTTACCTGATCATTCTTTCTTCAAAGTAACTTAAAGTCACGTGAAAATCTGTAAGGGACTGCGTCTCGGAATCATTGGCGAGAATATTTCTTCGTAAAAATGTTGCTTCGATTCGAGAAATCCTTCTCCGATTATCTATCGGTTGGTTAAGAAAAGGAAGAGAAGAAAATGTTTCCTTTCTAAAAATTCTACACGCGAGATCCCCTAATTGCTGGGAGGCGCGTATAAATCAGGATTTTACGGTGGTCAGAATGGTGGTCACAACGGATGACACCGAGGTGTTACCAGTTGACAAAATCTCGAGAGAGAGTGGGACGGTGATTAGACGGTGATGGTGGGAACGAGGAATTCCGATTCTATGAGCTGTGATCACCAGAAGACACGTTTTGGAAGAAACCGTCTTTCTCGTCACGCTCGCTTCCGCCATAATTCGGCTCGGCCGACAGCTCGGAATGTTTATACCTTGTGGATACTTTACCTGGCCGAGTCGGAGAGGTGGTTTTAAACCCGTGATATATAACGAGTGGTCGACTAATCCCTTCTACCCTTCTGGCTCGCCATCTCTTCGAAAATAGTGAATAGCTCCTCTTTGAAATATATATATATATATATATCTAAGAATAATGTACAGGACCGGTATCGTTATGCCCATTATCGTTTTAAATACGCCCAACTGGAAGTAAAAATATACGTATCTATTAGGTATATTATATTCAAATGAAATCTGGTTTGAATTTCCACTTGGTTGACTATCAGTGATTCGAAATTGGGTTCATTGGCCTGTGTGCATTATCGCAGGTAATTGAATATGTTTAAATCGCGTTAAAGAAATTTTTTAAAAATATTAAAACTTTTTTTTCTTTATGGAAATATTTATTACAAATAAGTTAATTATTTTATTGCAATTCCTCAAGAATTCGCACGGATTTTCTTCCCGTAATTTAAAGGTTGTTATAGGGATAAAGCAGTTACGCTGCATTAAAAAAGAATAACTTTACGTCATTAAGTTGATAACGGTACTTTCTTTTTTTATATTTGATCCCTAAAGAGAAATTACGCAGATTCATCAGCCTCTGCATTACAAGTATCGCACAGGTGTTGTTGAATATAAAAACGCGTGGCATAATTTTATAAATCTATTAACAACAGTGTACGCGTTCAATTTTCACGAAATTTATTTTCGAAACGCGTGTTATTTCTCGAAAAAAAGGGGGGGGGGCGGGAGAAAATAAATTTGGCGCTCGCTGTATTCGTTGACCTGCGCGCTCAATATCCAGCGAAAGGAATCGCATTCAAATTCGTGAATACACTTAAAGCAGGGAAAATGTCTAAATCCATTACAACAACCCGCGCTTATTTCCATAAATTTCACTTTTGACGGGCGTTTCTTAAAAGGAACGAAGTTTCCATAAATTGCGCGGGGCGATAAATTAGATCATCATTAGCCCGTAATTTACAGAGGAGGGAACTCGTGTTTGGCGCATATACCAATACGAAAACACGTTCATAATCTCGTTTGCGTTTTCTTGTTTCCAGAGAGGGGAAACGGGAACCGCTTGATGCCTCGGTCGCGGCATTATTCAGAAACGTGTGTTTTCCGCGCGTTTCTACGTGCTCTCGTTAATCCTGTGATTAATGCTACTTTTGCAACGCGGCCGGGGCGAAAGAGAAGCCCCCGTTGTAACAACGTGGGCCAAGTTATCCGGGCAAAAGCGAGGCCAAACAAACACCGCTGCTTTGTGGCAATTACTTTTAAATATACTCTCTTGACGAGACGGCCGCGTGTATAACCTCCTCCACTCCTTTCGTTGGTTAAAAGTGTACCGGAGGATAGGAAGGTGGTTCTCTTCACCGCTGAGAAACGCCAACGCTGCCGCGCTCCAGGACAACCAATTGTGTGTGCGTGTGCCCGCGAGAGAGAGAGAGAGAGAGCCTTTCTGGAAATTAAACTCATTGAGAATCTAATTTCGAGTAATCAACCCTTCGCCGGCTTTCCACCTATACTTTCCAAGGACTTGTTTCCTTCCACCGCCTGTGTGCGAATATATATAAATTCTTGGTCTACAACTCGGACCTGCGGGGGAAACGAATGTACGCGTAATTAACCTAACGACGCAAATGATATAAAGGAATCGTCGTAGTATATTCCGTGTTGCTCCTTTTCGAGAGCGGGGATAGTTTCGAGTTTCCGTTTTTTTTTTCTTCTTCTTCTTCTTCCTCGTAATTCGAACCGATAAGTAATTATCGTCCACGGTACACGGACGGACGAATGGAATATCGCCGATAAAAGGATAATTCAGGTGGATTTGCCCTTTTTTACGTGCACGCACGTTATCGATCGAAAAGTAATTAAAATGTAATAGTACAAACAGAACGGATGGAAAGCGGCCGGATATAAATCAAATATTGATTCGTTAAATACGCCGATTTTCATTCGGGACTCGCGTTAGGATCGGCCGCGATAACGGCTTCCTTTGTCCGTTTCCCGCCGATCATGACGTCTCCCCGTGTTAATCGCGTCCACGATTAATGCTCCGCGATTAAACCCTGTCATCCTTTCTTTCCCAATTAACTGCTGGGAGGAAGGCGAACGATGGTTAACGATGCCGGCCCGTGTTTTATAAAGCCATTATCGAGGCGGTTGGGCGAGGATTCGTGCTATTCCTTGGCATATCTTTGCACGGTGCCCCCCGATCACGGTTACACGGCTAATAAATAAGATGTCCATTTGCTCGCGCGGTATAACATCATGGCGGCGTGCACAGCGCGATTTCAATATTATCCCGGACGGGCTTGTATCGGGCGGGGATACACGCGACACGGCCGATCCGTAATAATTTATAACGGTGAATTAATTTTATAGAAAGGAAACGGGCGTGTGTGTATGCGGCGTCCACCTCATTTACATAACATGAATAATTATTAATAGTTCCTCGTTCGACCTCTCCCTCTCTCCCTCTTCGTGAATCGATACGGTGTAGGTTCCTTTTCACGTGTCCGTCTATAACGACGCTTAACGACATCGCGGTGGAATGATCATTGGGAGAGAAGATTTGTATTTCGTGTATTGTAGTTGACGAATGGAATACGTCTCCATTTTTTATCATCTTCCCCTTGACTTTTCACGGCAACCCTGATCCCCTAATTTATATTTCTATGGTTTCAGAATCCAATTGCTCCTTCCGTCGCGGTTCCCAGCCACGGTTCGAGAAAGAATCCTCGTGAAGAAACGCGGCCATTTCGGTGAGGAATAATCGCGATTTCGATACGCGACGTATCGAAAGGACGGCAATAACGACTAATTGAATAACGAGAGAGCCCGTTGTATGGGATACATGCATGGGTGAAGTTGAGCGTGCATTATAGAAAGGTCAAACTGGGAAACGGTTGGAAATGATTCGCAGACAACGATAATATCGTTTAACGGTTCATCGAATATCGTAATCAACAATTGAACAAGATAATCACGTAACGATATTTAATTACCTGTGCATTATCGCGGAGCAAGCCCTTACAAAACGAAACGTGACACTCTGCTCTTTCACCCGGCCCCCTTTCCGCCCGATTTGTTTTGAATATTTTAAATCCACGGGCGGGGATTATGCGGTTAAACAATAATAACGCGTGTATCTTTTGTGTAACGCGTGTCGTCGATGTTTTACACGCGCAATTGGTCATCGCCAAAATTTCGGTAAAATTGCGAAAATTGACATTTGATATTTCCGCCACCCACGAATGAATTAATTAATTCTTTTCTTCGAAACGAATTGCGCGTAATGCATCGAGCTTTCGAATTGGATCGACTCTTTTAGGGACAAAAGGAAAAGAAAAAAAAAAAAAAAAAAGAAAAGAAACGTTTGAGAAATCAAATAATCAAGGCGCTCCTAGAAACGGTTTAAACTCTTCAAACGGTTTCTACTCCATTCAATATTCCCTTCCGCTGGTTTAATTCCTTGGCAAATTAAACCATCGACCTCGATTTGAAAATTTCTTAATTCACCTCCAAAAACCTATTACCGACTCGAACGACCAATCTCCACCGTGGTATTAATCTTTAACCCCCTCCGCCTCGTATAAAAGGATTGAAAGAAGAGCGGATCCTCGCTAAATCTAACGGAATAAAACTAGTCGGGATACAAATTTCTCGGAAGGCGGCCCTTTTCTCGGCGACGAGCCTTCCGTCGCTCTGCTGTCGGAGAAGGAGATCGGAAAAGAGGAGGAGAACGGGGGGAGAAGAATGGCGGTACGAAGTCGCGGCCCCCTTGAAACTCCCCGACCTTAAATCCCGACACGTGCAGTAAATCATGGACGCGTTACAGAATCGTTTCGACTGCGAAACGTCTCTGTGGAATGACGCGCGTGGAGAGAGAGAGAGAGAGAGAGAGAGAGATTGGAAACGAGGAGGAGAGGAAAGGGGTTTCGGAGGAGAGAAGAGACCCGCGTTCTCTCGAGGCAAGAAGAAGAGTTTCGAGGCGTACAATAATAATTTGTACGCCGGTCATATTTCACGTAAGGCGGCCGTGAATTATGGCAGTCGCGGTCGACGCAAATGATTTAGGTTTAATAACGACGGTCTGTCCGGCCGGCCCGGGTCAGCAGCCATTGTCGGTGAAACGACGGGGGCCTCTTCTTCTTCTTCTCCTCCGCGATGTCCCCTCTCCGACTCGAGGAGAGGCTCGTCCGAGTCGTTTGCATACCGATCTGGATCGACGAAAGGGGAGAGGAAAACATTTCTCTGCATATTTAATTATGCAGAAATTCGGTCCATCCTCCTCTTCCTCCTCCTCCTCCTCATCGTCCCCTTAATGATCCCCTTTGACTCGAGCTCATTTTTCACCCTCTCCGAAAATGGAAACGAACGATTCTCGTCGGTGAGAAAAAGTGAGAAATTGGCTTTGGAACAAACCTGAGAAGAAAACCTCTTCTCAACGTGGAAATTAAGATCGTGGGTGAAACAAGAGGTACTCCTTTTTCCTCATTCGGAGACTCGTTTGTTTACATAATGCGAAACAAAGAGGGGGAGGGAAAGGAGAAACAAAGAAAAAAAAAAATTGTCGCGAAATTCGGCGATAAAATCGGCGGAACGTATCGCGCGTCCATCCGGACGTAAAAAAATAAAAAAAAACGCGAAAACTGTCGCGCGAATGTTTGCGAAGCGTGAAGTTCGTCGTGTTTCCCGGTGACTAACGTCCCTGCCGCGTTATTGTCCACGGGGAAAAAAATAAACCGCGCGAAATTTCACGGAATAAAATGCTTTGTGCGCAGCTTCGGAATCGACGATTTCTGCTTTCCGACAAACGAATCAACGTCCCCGTGGAATATCGAATCGAATCGGGGGACCGTTCGTGAGGAAACGTTTTCGAAGTGGAGTCGATGCTCGGACGCGACGATTATGGGACAAGGTTACAAGGTATAGATAGAAAGGAGGAGAAATCGTAGGATTTAGGATGGGAGAAAGGTTGGCCGTAAACGATCGGGAGCGTGGAGGTATCTAACGCCCACGGGCAACGAGCCCATGCACACGGCTCGCTGTCATGTTTATAGCCACGGTGGAATTCCGGTTAGTTTCCCTATAGTCGAACAGATAACACAATTTCTGTGTCTTGTGCTCGCGTATCGGTGTTATTGGTACCGACTGTCGCATAAATATATCGTCCTTAATGTTCAAACCCACTTTCGACTCCCAGCTACGATTTTCGAACGGTGGCCGGCCACTTCTTTGTTTTAAGTTAATAAATCTCGAGGTGGCGCTCGGTTGTTTGCTATGCGGCGCGTTGGTTCCTCGTGTGCGATAAAACTTTCGGGTGCACACCTTTCGATGCGTTACAAGCACGGTTACGACATTCCGGAAAGTCGTAGTGTTTCGCGAAAAGGGAGCTGTACACTTTGTACTTACTTACTTACTTACTTACTTGCTTGCTTGGGGATCTATTAACGTTCGAGGTATCGGTTGCTTCGAATACACCGACGAGTTTGAGCAAGTTTGGCGAATTTGTCGATGGAATATTACGGTTCAATTTTATTCGGAGCTGCTATAGAACTTTGCTTATATGAAGTTTGCGGGGAGCGAGTAGATTGCTTATGTAATGCAAGTTGGTATTATTTTGTGTATACAAATTGTATATAATTTTTAATCTTTAATTATTTAATTACTTCCAATTGCTCGATAAATTTCGATAAATCAATCCTTCAAGTTTATAATACTTCGTGAACAAGAGAAAGTGAATTTGTTTAATCGGATACATTTGTCAGTTATAAAGGATAGAGCATGAAATTTGGTGAAAATACAATTTACCTTTATCCTATAAACATTAAATATCTCCCGGATAAACACGAAACGAACGCACGAAGTGGACACAAAACTTCTCTTAAGCCTGACCTTAAACCTTTTAAAACTTTAAGCGTTCCAGGGACGGTTTATCCAGTCCTAAAATATCATGGATGCTCCATCCGAACGTGCTATATTTGCGAGAGGCTTGAAAATTTTAAAACCTTCGTCGCAACATTTATCCTTGAACTTCGAGATTAAAAAAAAAGGAAAAAAAAAAACAAGACGCAAATATATACTCTTGGTACCAAAATTCTAAACTCTTCCCACTCGATATTCAACTTCGATTTTTCGGATTAAAGAAGGAAGAAGAAGAAGAAGAAGAAGAAGAAGAAGAAAAAAAACTTTCTCCAAACTTCACCCGAAACTTTGACATCCGAGATTAGAAAACCGCAGACTCGAAGATGGCTGACGCCGTGGCATTAACATTAAACTCGTTACGAGGGTCGAAGACGACCGAAACCTCGAAACAATGCCTTCGAGGTTAGGAAGGGGGGAGGGATGTTCGACTAATCGGCGGCGTTGAACTGCGAGCTGAACGCACGGCGCAATTTCGCGAAGATTAGCGAGCAATCAGGCCCTTTCACGACGAATTCCCTTCCATTCGATTCAGCTATCAACGGAACGGCGCACACCCACGCCACTTTCTTCGCGGAGGAACATTCAATTTAATTACCACGTAGAATGGCACGAACTCGGCCTCTTCATCGAAAACTTTCTGCTCGGTCGGAAGGGAAAACGGATTCATCTTTGCTCTTTTCCATCCAACGGTGTTCTTTAACACTCCGTTTACGTGGAATTCATTATTTTCACGGCTGTACGTATATATATATATATATATATATATGTGTGTGTGTGTGCGTGACGAATCGAATGAATTTTTAACGAACGCGAACATTTAACGGAAATATTCCGTGATTTTCCACGGAAATTTTCACGAGGAAAATTCGCGTGGCCGAGTTTACTTTTAATTGACCGCGACGAATTTTCTATCCTGCTCTATTTTTGGATGGAAATCGAGGACAATCCATTTTTGCACCGCAAAACACGTTTTCATCATTGAGGTACGATTGGTGAAGAATTGCCGCGAGACAGTTCCTGGAAGACAAATGGCGATGTTTCGACGATTTAATTTTAATTAAAGCCGAGGAAGGTCTCATCGTATTCATCGTTAATTTTTCAAACGTTTGTTGAGGAGGGGAAATTTTTCTCTTCGAGGTATTAATCTATCCGTGGTTGAGCGAGTTACGCTTCTAGACAGAGATTCTATTTCGATGGAATAAGATTGTTCCAACTACTAAATTTTATTAAATTCCCATCGTGTTACGAGACTTATCCGAGTCTCTTGGATTTTTTTATGTATCGTCAAGTTTCTCGAAAGTATTCGGCGAAAGGAAAGTTGGGCGCGATCGTCTGTACGCGCGAGATACTTTCGAAAATAGAATATGCCGGGGCCATTAAGGAGGCAATGGTGAGCCGAGCGGGATGCCGACGGATTGACTTCCATCAACTTTTAAATCTGAGTAATTCCTCCTTGCCGCAAAGTTAGCCGCCGTGAAGTAGTAAGTTGAGGAATGCGCAACTTTATAATTTGATCGCCGCGGGTTATGGGAGGCCGAGGTAATTTGCAAGGAGGCACGCGTGAAACTTGCCCATATTAATTTAAATTTATACCGGCTTCCGGTCTCCCTCCCATTTACTCGCCGAGTTGCTTTATGAAAAGATGGACAATCATATTTCTAATTGTCGAATAGTTGCAACGGTAAAAGTAAGTTAACTTGAACATTCAGATTTTTAATTTAATTGTAACTGGATCCTCGATCTAAATGAATTAATACCGGGGGAGTGATTCGATGAATTAGAATAATTCGCGATAATCGGTGTATTTCCAATCGCAGGTACGAGATTCTCGCGACGCGATTAAAATGTATTTATTGTGAATCGTTCAAACGGGGGTTTGTCGTGTTTCTTCTTTTATTCCCTGTCGGGGGAAAAGTGGTGTCTGGAAACATAAAGGATTGGCTATTATTTTTTCGCGGATAACACCGGCCGGCTCTTCCCTAAGTGATGTACGAGCCTTCCCCGAGAATTCCCACGAAAAACTTGATAAAACGGCAATTTTCGTGTCTTATTTCTCCGGCGATCGTTCAATGTTTCTGCTAAAAAATGAAACGCGCGGGAATGCTGTAGCGATCTTATTCGAATATCGTTGATGACGAATTATCGAGATTGGTAAATTGTTTTACCAAAGTTTTTAGGAGGTTTAAAGATTCACTCGTGTTCCAAGTATTTGAAATAATTATTTTATCAATCCTTCGAGATAATTAAATGAAAGAAATTTTACGCACAATTTTTACGATTAGCGTATCGAGAATTCCTTCCGATTCATTTCAAACCTCAACCACGTTATTTATTTAAAAAATGTTTTTCGCAAAGTACAGCAAACCATTCCTCGTCGTTCGAATAAGGGAAAATTATTAAGAGAAGGATAATGAAACTTGAATTTAATGAAATTACATATTACAATGAATGTTACAATACGAATAAAGCCGTTCGTATTAAATAATCCTTTGAAATTTCTTGTGAGGGTGGAAACGAAGGAGGAAAGAAGGAGTATAAAAAGGGAGAGGTCGCATTCATAATCTAAGACGCTAATGCAAATGGCGCCTTTGCGCCACCGATAGCTCCAAGCTCTTTCAACGCCACATTTCTTTGCTGTCCACATCGGTCAGACTTAATGGATCGTCTGTAACACGCATGTCGATTCGGACTCCAATTTTACTCGTTACGTAGCGTCTATATGGCCTCGGGTTGCTGCTTCGCTTTTCAAAGCGGGTCTTCAAAGAACTGACGAGCTCTCCTGCAAAGATAACATCAATGGCGAACCAGAAGGGATGTTTCTACGAACGCTTTTCACCAAATAGCGGACACGTTATTAATGAGACGTTGGCGGAGTGACGAATGGGCCCAAATAATAAAACATTTTTGCCAGCCAGAGGCCGATTCGCGGCCGAGAGTATTTCTTTTATATTCCATTTTTTTTCTTTTCTTTCTTTTTTTCTTTTTTTTTTTCCTTTCGAAAAGAGTCGATCAAAATGAGATTTATAATCGCGAAGAATTTCATTCCCGATTTGCTTGTTTTCCGAATCGAACGTTGAAGCTATGTGTCGATGATTTTATTATTAAAAAATTCGCCACTGGAAATTGCTCGATATTACGCGTAGGCGAAAGGCGAGAATGAAAATTTCTTCGTTTTCCCCTTTTTTCCCCTTTCGCACTTTACTTTACTTGTTCGAGCGATCGCTATCAAAATGGAAATAACCGTTTCCGCATTTCGGTGTTATCGTATCCTCCTC